AACAGAAAACGTGACAATGTGAAAATTATAAGGATAGCTTTAGATTTACATGATGTAATTGTTGATTCAAAGAAGGTTGTTCTCTTTGAATGTGAATAGCTTCTTTTATCTTGAGTTGGAAACTCGTAGATGCGTGATCTAAGATATGGAAACAATCTACTGAACACAAGGCGCGACAATGTTCAGAATTCTGTAGATGTTTGAAAACGTGAGAGGCCCTATCACTGACTAAGTGCTCACGCACGCGTGTGGAAAAATGCCGGGCCGTTTCGCCGACATAACAGGCATTACAGCCCGCACATGCAAACTTGTAAACCACACGCGAAAGAAGCCCGCCAGGGACAGGGTCCTTCACGCCAAACATGTTGCCTATCTTAAAGGAGGAAAAAACTAGTTTGATATCCAGATCATTGCAATAGCGCTTGATAAGGTGACGAATCTTTTTCTGAGTGACGACAGAAAAACGGCCAATATAGGGTAGTTTAAAGTAAAATATGGGTGAAGTGGGGAGGGAACCCCGGGGACAGTGATCACTTAGGGTCCCAGTAATGTAGCGGTTTACAAATTTTTCAATTAAATGAGCAGGGAAAAGATTCTTTTTTAGGATTTCCAGAAGCTTAGTAATGTCTTCGTGTAGTCCCAACCAGGTGTTGTTAATCTTATGGGCCCTGTCAACAAGAGTCCTGATGAGACCCACTTTGTAGGAGTTTTCTTACGGTAAACTCGAGTTAGAAAAGAATTGGGGTTATTGTTGTCAACTAGAACATCTAAAAAAGGTAATTGAGGATGAGCTTCTTTTTCCATAGTAAACCTAATGTTGGGGTGTCTAGAGTTGATGTAGTCGAAAAATATAATGGCATCATGTTCTGAGTGAAATAAATAAAAAGTGTCATCAACATATCGGCATGTGCGGGCTGTAATGCCAGTTACGTCGGCGAAACGGCCAGGCATTTTTCCACACGCATGCGTGAGCACTTAGTCAGTGATAGGGCCTCTCACTTTTTCAAACATCTACAGAATTCTGAACATTGTCGCGCCTTGTGTTTAGTAGATTGTTTCCATATTTTAGATCACGCCTCTACGAGTTTCCAACTCAAGATAAAAGAAGCTATTCACATTCAAAGAGAACAACCCTCTTTTAATCAATACTTACATCATGTAAATCTAAAGCTATCCTTATAATTTTCACATTGTCACGTTGTCTGTTGTTACTAGCTTAATTAGCATGTACTTATAAATTCAACTTGTAACGCTTTGTTAATCAACTGAAGATGACAGAGGTTTCTGTCGAAACATGTCTTTTAAACTCAAAAGTTTTGTCGTTTTCTTTTAATTTCTGACTTGCCTGCTGACATCAAGATAATTATATAATAATAAATTTCTTAACGCACTAGTTATAATTACTCTTGAACAAAAGCTCATCTTTCAAACCGGCAGTCTAAATCCCACAGGTATCAACGAACGCTTTTCATTCCACTAATTTATTCGTGTTTTTCTCGTTACCATGTTCCCACCAATCACGTAGCTCCTTTTTCTGCCTTTGAAAGCACACAGACGAAGGGCTAACGCTCGAAACGTCAGCCTTTATAATCGTAACGGTGGCCAATTTACAATTTCAGCTTTGTTAATATATTCAAATTATTTAGTTATGATCACGTTACCTTATTCGTTTTTCAACCACTGAGGCAAACTTGTCGACCAAAATATGATTAAATTTGATAATACGGGATATAAATTCATGAAACGATGGTAAGACGAATTTGATTTTTCGATCTCTGTTCCATTAGTAGATATCACAAAACAAAGAAAGCTATAGCAAACAAAGGCAATTCACCAAGCCTGGTTTTCTCGCATTGTGAGTTCATAGAATTACACCGTCGGATACTTGAATTGGTGAATCCCCTCTAAATAAGTAGCGAAAAGTCTTGGACATTTCTCAGAAATCGGCTTAATTGTGCTTGATTAACATAAATCAGTTCTATTCAAGTTATCAACATTTAGACTGACTTCTAAAGAAACGGTAGTTACGCCATAACTGTTTCAACAAGAGCAACATGGTGATAAATTTCAACAACTTATTAAACCCGGTAAAACGATCAATCATTTTTAATCATCATCTTGTTTGTTGCACGCAACTTGAGGTAGGCTAAGCGATCATGAACATTTGTTCATTATGCATCACGCAAAATGTTTGAAAGTGAAATGTCTTCATCTCGGTCACGCTTGGACGGCGAAGTATATAAGCAAAAAGATGGTCCTCGATAAATTGATATTTAGCTGTGATTTTATGTTAGCTCAACCTTAGTTTCCAACAACTCTCGCTTGAATGATTCTCCTTGTTGCCGGCACCATGAGTTTGCGATTTCATTAAGGCCAGAGTGAACTCGAAGGGCATTTCGATAAAGTCAGTAACAAATGCACTCTGCCATGATTTAACTAACGCACACACTTCAATTATGCCCTATAGAGTCGAAATGGAGCAAATTTGACGAGTTCTTTACAGCAGTGCTTGCATTCGGCAGCGCCTGATGCACTCTATGCATTCTAATCCAACTATGAGTAACTAAATGGATTAAAATCATCCAAATTAAATCATGCTTACCTGACACATGTAATTCTACGCTGCAAAAAGTTTTATGAAAAACTGAGGCCACAAGTTATTGCGGTTACATAATCAAGGAATTGGTATCTGGGTTTGACCAGAGGTTGCTTTACAAGGAGCTAGAAGGTAACTTGATCTAAGTCCAACTTGATGCCTCTTAATCGACAACTATCGGGTAAGTTTATTTAAATATTTCCTAGAAACTAACCTACTTCCAGGACCTCACAGGAATGGACCCTTGGACTGGACTGGGAATGAAAAAACTGTTCCGTTAAGAAGGAAATTTACCGGTAATTAAGTAAAATGAAGGAAATAAAAATCACACGGCTGTACACCTTTGAAAGATCTTTACCGAAAACTTTTGGC